GGAACAAGGTCTGTTTTTACAGAAATGGCTTCATTTGGAACAAGGTCTGTTTTTACTAGGTTTGAATGTGAAAATGGCGGCTCTCACTTGTTTTGTTGTATTTTTGTGACTCTTTTTTGGAAATGTTTTGGTATACATGTACATGTATGTACATGTACTTGTGTTTTCTTTCTCCTATGCAAGTGTACAGGTACATCGTGTGGTACTTTTTGGTTTGTCATTGCTTTCCTAGTTCTCATTTTTGGTAAGCATGTTATTTTTTTGGGGGGGGGCTTTTTTTGCCTCATGATATCCATCTGTTAAGAAGTATGTGTTATTGTGTTTGTAGTTTGAGATTAATGTTTTGTTGTTTATGTAGTGGCTTGTCGTTTATTTGTGTTTTTGTCAGTCACGGTGTTTTTTGTAAAAATATACCATTTCAGTTATAGAGAGTCATGGTGATGTTATTGTTCTTAGTTTAGGCAGTGCTTTTTGTATGCTCTTGCTTTATTTGTCCTTTTCTTGTCATCTTTGTGTGGATTGGTAATGAAGATGTAATTTTTGAACAACCGTAAAATGTAAACGTCTGGAATTTTGATTTTACTTGAAATATTGTTTATTATGTTTATTTTCCCAAGCAGTAAAATACACCCAATCATTGATCCTTTAACCAAGAAACTCATGTAATCTGTTCTTATCCTTCTAAGCAGTTTCAATCTAAAATGATGATGAGCAAAATTTCAAAAAGGATAATCAAGTAAATTTAAAACTTGTAGACTATTTGTAAAACAAATGGTTATGAGTCAACTCGGGCCCAAACCAACTCAGACCCATGCCAATTTGGACCCAATACCAACTCAGATCCGCGACGAACTCGGACCCAATACCAACTCGGACCCATAACTGACTCGGACCCTTAGCCGACTCAGACCCCCACGCTAAACCAACTCGGACCCAACCTGAGGAACATTTAGTTTCTGCGAGATTAATTATTGTAAGTTTAGGCAAGTCTAACGACATTTATGAAGTTTTTTAAATGACATTTTTTGTCTCTATTTTATGCAATCTTTCATTATTTTATTCAAACTTCACAAAATCACATTTCATTTGTCCTATTTCATTACTCCATTCCCCATAATTATGTGTATACTGTGTTCGTTGCTATATTTTATTACCATCGACAAAAAGTTTTGTTCTGAATTATTTTATTGTTATTCATGTGTGGGTTGTTTATGTTTTTCATGCCTATTTCATTGTTCTGATAAATAGCTATTAATTTAATCAATTTTGCTATTTTATCTAATTTCCTACAAAATGAAATGGAACAATATTTTATGCCCAAACAGAAATAATTTTCTAAAAACTTGTTCATAGTTCGGTGATGTGTCCCTGCTGGTGTTTTTCTGTTGTGTGTTAATTGGATTAAGACTTATTAGGCTTTTTTTCACTCTGATCTCACCAGTGGTGATCAGCACCCACTGTAACCCTGCCACAGTCAAGGGATGCCGAATGAACCTGTTGTGAGTCAGTGCTGCATGTTGGATTAAGTCCCTTTGAGTTGGCACATGCAGCACCATGAATGAGTTTGAATGATTGACGGATCCTGTAGCTTTTGTAGAAACTCAGACATTAACTCTATCAACAAATGTCGGAAGTGAGTAAAATAACATTTAAGTAAGCTGGAAATAATGGGGTTACACCTTATTATTCGCTAACAATTTCATTGTCACGAGATTTAGTCCTAAATTCTGTAGCAGTTGCATCTTCACTTTGGCACAAAATCAGCGAATGTTTACCATGTGCACGTTTCATTTGCACAAATCTCAGAAAATCGCCAATTAAGGTGTAAAAATGTCTTAAAAGTTATTAAATTGTGATAAATTATCATAACTTACACTGCAGCTTTTTAGTGGAAGGGCCCAATACGTAAACCCTGGATTTTTAGAAACTGGAATAATTGGAGTTTCGTGAAAGTTTTAAAAGATTATCTAGTGTACTGCTTAAAAGAATTGTTAATTGGGCAGAAATTATCTTACTTACAAACCAGAACATCAGTAGAAGCAAGACTATTTTGGGATCCATGCCGAAAGCCTCACTGCTGGGGCTGTCAGGCTTTGCATGTCTCCTTTATTATCCAGAGCATTCTCACAGAGTTGCTGACAGTCTAGGGCTGGGTAGGTCCGAATTGACTCGGGGTGGGTCTGAGTTGGAGTGGATCTAAGTTGGTTATTGGTCCCAGTTTGTATTGAGTCCAAGTTGGTCATTGGTCTGAGTTGGTATTGGATCCAAGTTGGTTGTGGGTCCGAATTGGTATTGGGTCCAAGTTGGTTCAGGTCCGAGTTGACCTGATCTCAAATAAACAAGGGCCATTTACGTGTACATGTATGTATATTTTGCACATTTCTGAGATACAGACATTTGTGGTTCATTTTCTTTAAAATATTGTCCTACTGACCCTTCTCTGATAACTTTTTGCTCGTTTACAGACAAAAAAAGAATTTCGACCCTGAAAGTCTTCAGATGACTCTATGAAAAACACCTGATTTTTCTACATGTACATTTTGTACATAATTATAAATGTTCTTTGTCTGAGTGTTAACTGTTCATTAAAATCATTCTGTGGATATTTCAGAATGGCTAAATTTCCAATTTGAAGTACATGTACATGTAATTGTGTAAGCATACATGGCTCTTAACTTATTTGTATACGAGTAGGTGAGATAATGAGGATACATGCAGTCTTTTATATGAAGTGGCCTCAAGTGATAATTAACTGTTCCTTTAACTACAATACATACTGCAGATCGAGAAGTGAGAAGTGAAATTGTTTGCAATGGAAGAGGATCCTGACGGCTCTTGCATTCTCAGTGAGGATGATATGGATCAGCCTCCGTTGAAAAGATCAAAAACTAACAGTGAAAGACCTGAATGTGAATACTCTGGTGATGGAGATTCCCCTGGAAGTGATTCTGAATCTGAAGAATGGCAAGATGTTGAAGGTTTGTTTCATAGCAATTGCAGGTATAATTGTGGAGGCGCATAAAATGTACAGCAGTCTAGTGAAATTTCCTTTACGTGAAAAGCACCTGAAATAGAAATAACCTTCATGTACTTACGTGTATGCATGTACGCATTATACATATATGATTAAGTTTTAGAGTAACACCTTAACCGTTGAAACCTGACTTTAGTCCCTTTTTTCTAGATTTCAATGTTTTCCATTGTTCACAAAACAGACCAATCAAATCTGAAAGCCCTAGTTTTGGAGCACTTCATAGTGACCTTCACAAATCCAAAATGTTCCAATTAAAAATATAATTTGTCACTCCCAATACTGTAAAAGGTGGAAAATGAGCTGGCTAAGTAGTTCTTTTAAAAGTAGTTTAGGATCTTCTATTGTAATCACATACAGGTAACAGGTGATATCAGTGCTACATATGTAGAAGCTCTGCATAATCACTGGTTGATTTGTAATATTTGAACTTGGCATATGCTTGAAAGTACTGATGTGTTAGAGCAAGCTTTTCCATTTTTCTCGCCAATCAGCTTTAAAAAAAGGTAGGACTTTTTACAAACGTATCAAGCACATACACAAGTACACACCCTAAAACGTCAATTAGGCTGTATGGTTTGCACCAGAAGTTCATATTACTTATTAATTTTCAATAAAAAGGTATAAACTAATCCGATTAAACACCATTACAGTGATGGCACCGCACTCAACATGCACAGTCTTCTGTGAGCTTGATGCATACCTGCCTTTTGCAAATCATGGCTCTTTATTGGTCAGAGGCATGTACCGCACGTGTGTACCACCTGTCTATGAGTGTTGTGCCACAGCAGTAATGGCTTCTAATTCTGGTTGTTAAATTACACAACAGTTTCTTCATGATATTCTTAGTCTGTTCAGGTAACTGGAAACACTGCTGTTTTGTTTTGCTGCCATGTCAGTGAAGATTCTGCAGCAAAATCTTTTGCTCAATGTGTCCATGGAAAATTGCATCCTCTTATTAGATTTTCAAAAGAAAATGATCATAAGCGTGCAGTGTATCAAAGACCACTTGGCGATTAGTGAATTTTGCTAATTAATTAATCACACACGAACTAATCGTGATTAATCGATTAATCACGAGTAGTGGCAAAAATTCTGAGACGTGGTGTCAACACGTGAATATGGTACTTTCTAGGCTTGGGCGGTATTGCCTTTTTCGATACCGCGGTATTCGTTGCAGAAGGCAATGACGTCATCAAAAAGCAGCGGTGATGCTGAGATTCACTGGCAAACCACAAACAACACCAGGGGCCAGCATAAAGGGTTTTTAACATCACAAAAACCCCTTAACTTAATAACTATTATAATTTATCTGTCCATTTGATGTCAAATAAAAATGACTTATGTGAATGAATTTTTTAAAAAAGGGACGGTGTTTTTAATACCGATTTGTTGCTCCGCGATTCCTATATCTGTGTGGTCACTCGTATATGTTTTATTCCTCCATGCTCGTACAGTACCAAAATCTGCACATGTGCTGCAGTCATGTTGGTACTTGCTGAGACAGTGCGTTATTGTAATGATTACGTGCAGGTCACCAGTGGCTGTTCCTCTTAGCTGCGCCCTAACACTGCGCATGTGCAATGGTAAGGTGGCTTTCAGAAAACTCTGCGACGCGGCAGTCAACTCTTTATTACGAAATCGGTTGTAACAAAATTCCGATTACAACAAGCACAACTATGTGGTCCCGTTGAAAACGTGCAATTTCTATGGGGAGAAAATATGTTACAGCGAAATAGCACTGTAAGAAATTCCTGGTACAACGAAAGGTTTTCGGGACTCCGTTGCCTGTAAAACCATTCTTGATGTCCCATTCATACGGCGTTTGCGAATCGCGATGGTGAAAACATGTGCGCGGTTGCACCACACTGGTTCCCGCAGGGCCCAACCGTTGCCAGTGAAGGCATGATGGAAATGCGGCAAGCAGTCAATGTACAGGTTCTGCCAAAAAAGGGTTGTACCTTCCACTACATCGAATGCTGCTCTATAGTTGCAAGTCAAAAAAACACTGCTGTCACAAATTTTTCTGCAGGTTCATTCACAAAAATTGATCTCATGTCTATGTTTGTGTTTTCTGTGTTCGTGAATTCAATTTGAAGTTGCACTGCTTGTACTCAAGCAAGCGTGCTACCACAAAATTTCCAGTCGTGCAACACAAGGCTTATCGCACGCACGCTTACAATGCAATATACAGACATCGGTTGCCAGATTCCTGTCGTCATGACACGCATAGTGCACAATTAAAAATCCATGATATTTTACATTCATTACAGAAACCCCAAAACAAAAATTTCCATCCCATTTCCGATAAAATATGCCCCAAATGAGTTCGCATGACCATTCTCGTATGTCAAAGAGTCCAACTAATCGCCCAACACTGAACTATTCATACTGCTGCAAAGAGATCTGGCGTGCCCGCCAATGAGACTGTGCATTTTCATGACATACATTTGGCAAGACACAGCTATCCAATCACAGTACTCGTTCATGACATTATGCTTCCTCAGCGACCATCTCGCGCGCGGGCGGCTGCGCCGCAGTGGGCGAGTGATCTCGGACTACCAATAAATCGTGTCATGCAGCTTGTGTCAAAAATCAAAAGAGAGGCGAAAATTTAACAAAAAAATGTCTCTCCGTGACACAGTTTGTGTTGGAAAGACTATTTACATGGATGGGGGCTTTAGTTGATGAGCCTTCACACTCTTGCAGGTACATCCAGGCCTACATGTGCATGCAGGTTAGTTATTGTTGGCTTCATCATCATCCTTGGCAATTGAAAGTCTTTTAAAAATCCCTGGATCAATGCTTTCACATGTATTTGCTTTTTTAAATTTCACATGCACATTAAACATGTTTTCCTATGACAGTGAAGTTTATTATTCTAAACACATCACAAGGTATTTGATTAATCATAACCGAGAGATCTTTTTGAGCAACCACGTTGTCCTTTTTTTATTCCGGAAAAACTGAAATACAAGCAGTGACAAGTGAGGAATCGGGTTTTTGCTTCTCTTTTCGTGTGGTTGGAACGAATGTGAGAACAATAAAAAAGATCGTTGATTGCCGTGGATGTCGAACAGATGCAGATGTATGGAATCATTTTATAGGTTATAACACACATTCCTGGCTTCTGTTAGTTTTGCACACAATACTTGTACATGTTGTATATAAAAGACAAAAAAGACCCTAAGAGAGCAGCCAATAAAAATCTTCGAAAATAAAGTCCAGTGCGGACACGGAAGACCAGCTGATTTTTAATTCCCAACCTGTAGGGCTATGATACATGTACGTGTACACATGTGCCAATGAGTAATTCAAAAAGCACTGCCTACAAGCTATTCCAAAACCGTAAACTTGACGGCGGCGATAGGGAAACAAAACCTTTTGACAGGCAGGTTGATGGCTGCATGCTGATGTATCACGTTACGTCTTATCTCCTCACCAAAAGAGACAATACAAACGTGATGCTGGATGACAGAAAGCACGAAGTATGCAGTCACTGTTGTGGATATAATTGTCTGCTTTTATCTTATGAGGGTTGTGGGAACATTCTGAACAAATTAGCCAGAATACCGCGGTATTGAAATCCAATACCGAATTAGTCGGTATTCTGGTATTCATGGATTGCTAGTCGGTATTGCTCGGTATTAAAAACAAAACCACGGTATTCGGCAATACCGAAATACTGCCCAAGCCAAGTGCTTTCATCAGTTTCATTGCAAAAATTCTGCACAAGTATAATGCACACTATGCAGCAGCAAGTGCCAGGGCAAGTTTGTTTTTCTGTGTATCTGCTTTTATGTTATTTCATTAATTCTGAAATCTGGAAAGCCAGTGGCAGTATTCTCCGTAGCTGCTATAAAATTATCATGATTACATACAGGTTATGCTGGAATGGTTGCGGCTTGAGCTCCAGTTGGATCCCAGTACAAACGACGACTACATGTGAATAAGGGCCATTTTTCAACTTCGTCTCTGTCTTAGGCTTTGTCTATAAAACCAATCCCTAATTGTAGGCCTGAAGCATTTTAATTAATTTGAAGTACTATAATATTTGGTTCTTTTGCATCAAACTTGATTGTGGCACTGTCAGTCTTACATTGTACTATTGCGTCAACAACTTCAAAGTCAGGTAAAAAAAACATTTGAGGCCTGCGACCGAGCTGCAGTCAAGTATTGGAAAACTACATGTACATAGTCCGCCAAAAAGCAGGATGCCTGGCTGCCAATTCCGTTCTGAATGTGTGTAGGACAATTTGAACAAATCTTTGTTTTGGAGGCTCTAATACAGATTACAGATTTCTACAGTTTCAAAGTAAAAAAGCTGCTAGCTTGTCAGAAATTGTTTGAATAGAAAAGCTCTTGCCTTTAAACTAGGGAAAAATTCTGATTACTCAGTTACTTTTATTCCAATTTTTCACATTATGAAGTTCTAAATAACCTCCCTAAACTTCTCAATGGTATAGCCCACAGACATTGTTGTTCAGGGTTCATTTATTGTTGAAGCATGTGAGGCAATATGAATAGTTCATCACAAACCGATGGACAGATTACTGGCCAATGATTGCAGCCACAGTCTCCCTGACATCATTTTTGCACTGCTAAAGTGGGCGGGTATCTGGCACACTTTCAAAGATTGGGGCTGCACATACAGTGCTGCCATGTGGTTGGGTTTCAGTGCCCTTCTGTCTCAAAGGGCATTCTGTCTGAACTTTTGATGTCTTCCAGTGCAGTAAGTGATCACATTCGACCATTACCTTGGGAAATTCTCATTTGTGTAAAATGTGTTTTTTTTCACAAGTGTTTTGAGTTCATTCGCATTATGGTGGATAGAATGAAGCAATAATTATAAATTATACAAAATAAGGTAAACAATACTTGAAATCTGAATTTCACACGGAGAAAAATTGTTTCATAAACATGAAGTATGACAGTTCAGGCATTACTCATCGGACCCACCAAGCTAGCTATTCTACAAACCCTTCACTTAGTTTGGACAAAAATTATGAAACAGGAAATTCCAGATTTTTGTGGATGGGGCAGTAAGGCTGTTCTACATTTACTTGTTTCAGTCACAAAGTTCAAAACTTCAAGACACAAAATAACTAGCATCAAAAAAATGGATCTGTGTGTAATTTGAAACATCCAGATTTAGATAATGGGTTTTGCCCTCACCCAACGTATATTAATAAGCACTGTATGCTCAGTGCTTGTCTGCTTACAAAAAAAACCTCACAAGCTTACTCGGGTGGGACTCGAACCCACGGCCTCCTGCTTACTAGTGAAGATGTCGTAACCACTCGACCACCAAGCTTTCCAGGGTTGGCTGGCCGGTTTGACTCAAGTGAAGCAGCAGGTACTGCGAACTATTTTCAAGATGTATTTTTGCATTGGAGAGATGTAAATTTATATAACGGATTTTGCCCTTACCCAACGTATATTAATAAGCACTGTATGCTCAGTGCTTGTCCGAGAGCTTGCAAAAAAGTCCCAAGCTTACTCGGGTCACTACTTTATCCGTTGTGTGCAGCTGGTGCATGCACAGTGCTAGCGCTAGTGAAGACCTGACTCCTTCCATTTAGGTGCAATCTTTGCCATTCAGTTTGGTCCTAATATTGTCACAATCAGAGCAATTTTTTATGGTACGTTTTCCAGCTCTAAGGCCGAAAACTGATGGGAAAAATCCCCACCTCATTTTGAATTTTATATTCATGCGATTTTGAGCACACAATGAGCTTGAGTGTGTATGCAGCAGTATGAAGCAGCAGGTACTGCGAACTATTTTCAAGATGTATTTTTGCGTTGGAGAGATGTAAATTTATATAACAGGTTTTGCCCTTACCCAACGTATATTAATAAGGGCAACGCCAAAATACATCTTGAAAACATACAGATTGTTCGGAATGAATTTAGGAACCCATGAACTACAAGTAGTTTACTTCCTTTCAACATGACACAGAAGCCTTGGATACTTGTAGTTGGCAACTCTTGCTACATTTTTGGACTAAGGTTAATAGGAGGAAAGGCTAAAGTTTGTTGAACTGAACTGCAGCTGGCCCAGTCGACCACAAGTCTGTCAGTGGAGACTGCCGAAATAAAGCAGGTGTGCCCTGGATCATGATCATGCACAGTGTGGTAGTATGTGTAACTTAATCGGTACTCCATAACAATCACTACTCATTTTTCTACAGTTACTACATGTAATCGTGCTGCCGCAATTAATCGATTAGTTGCAAATCCACTAGTAGTGAAATGAGTAGGAGGAACTAATCATGATTAATCGAGATAATCGCCCAGCGGTAGTATCAAATGTGGTCTCTGAATAGCATAAGAAGATTAAAACTTTTTAGTTGGCTTTTCCAAGCCCTGAACTCGGCCTGATTTGGAATCTATAGATGGCACTAAAGAAAAAGATCTTTATGCATATCAGATGGTCAATGAATTTTGATGTTCGTCACCTGTTAGCCTGGAGGATGGCTAGATGTCTTACCCGTGTTCTGCCAAAGGCTGGTGTGACTGTCAGAAGGGGTTGATAGTAATGGAAGATGCTAAAGGACATGTCCAAAGAACTTTATAAGACTGTGCAGCCATGAGTGTGGTTGATAACAAATTGTTCATTCTTTTTTCCTTTTGTAAAATTAAAGATGGAAGTCCTGAAGAATACAAACAAGAAACAGCATTAACCTGTAATGAACAACACAGTTGTCAAGGCAAGGTGCTGGAGATCAATATTGATATCCCTGGAACTTCTCACAGCAGTGACAGAAAGTAAGAATGAATTGTAAATGTCTGTTCCCCTCTTTGTAGTAGTGTTACGTGTAAGATTGAATGTCTTAACTTGTGCATTTAGATCTAGATGACTAGTCAGTCAGTGCTGATGACATATGCTGCAAGGTATGAGACGGAGAGAACCCCCCCCTGCTTTGTGTTGGTCATTGTCTCGCAGGAATCTGGGGAATTCCTTGCAGACATCTGGGGGGACATGTTAAGTAACAATAGTCTGGAATGTGTATAGGGATTGGACATGTTGGGGGGTACCCCTCGGTCTCATTTCTTGCTGGGTGTAGCTGATGAGTCTGAATGTGTGATTGCTTTCTCAAAACAGTGTGGATCTGACATGGATCTGTTAAGGGTCACTTTTGTGAATGAAAATGTCCCTGATGTGCATTTACGGGTAGTACTGGAACCAGGTACATGTACATGTACCTGGTTCCAGTACTGTTGGTACATGTAAATAAACTCAAAACATACTCAAATGCCTTATCAAGGGACGACAGCAGAATTATGAAAAAAATTATTTTTTTTTTAAATGTCAAGAGGAATGATAGTCATGAGTCTCATAAACTCAGTCACACACTAAAGATCGATTCTGCACAAAGTTGTCCTGTTGGTCAGTGTTTTGTTTTTCTTTCTAAGTGGATTTATTATTTTTTCGTCATGCTGAAAAATGTGGCATTGTTTTTAACATTGTTCGTCACCACAGTTACGAGCGTGCAAAGGCCACATTTAGCCAACAGCAAATATCACACACATTTTGCCTCAGTAAAAATTTTCCCTAGGACTCTTTCTATTACTCAGTAACGATACTCTTTTTTGTGTGGTTTCAAGTTTCGTGGTCTGATATCCATCCATTTGATATCTACATGTACGTTCCTAATGGCAACAAAACAAATAAAAAAAGCCACACCTCAAAGTAAACCCTACATGTGCTTGTGCCGACTCAAGTGTTGACATCATGGACATCCAGCAAATACCATTTCACCCGCCAGTTTTGGGTTCTCTGCAATTTTCGTCAATGACAGTTGGTGTATGTCCGCAGAATTATGAGCATGATTTTTGTTAAAGGCATTGTACTCCTTAACTTTTGCTGTAATTTTGAATAAACAGCTTTTTTACACACTGGTGTATGGGTAATTCCAGAAATTAGGGGTCCAAAAGTGTGACTTTTTGTGTCCTTGTTACATCTGACCTTAGTTAATTGACATGGAAATATAGTCGTTTTCAAAGTATTACTATTTTTTGACAGGTAATTTGCATTAATTCATCACTCTCAGAAATTAGAAAATGTGTTCTGAACTTACAAAATCATACATGTATGTCAGATGTAACGGGGAAACGAAAAAAAATGGTCCCGTAATTTCTGGAATTACCCATACACGTGTGTTAGATGATACATTCTTGTTGACATGCAATCGAATTCAAGGGCATTTGTATAACTCTGGAATTGGTGGGAGAGTAGGAAGTCTGCCTTTCTTTGAGAAGTATTTAGCCATCTGCGGAGCATCACGGTTCGTCTAACTGGTCCAAAGACACCTTTATGGCATTGGAGAACTCATGGGTCTTCTTGTCTGCGTAACTTTGTTTTTCTTGAGCTTTGCGGATCCACCAGGCATTCTGAATCTCTCGAAGGTCACGTACATTGGCTCGCTCTTTTTTCCATTTCTGTAGGAGAGAGCTGGATGACGGATTGGTATGGCGGGCCTTGAGAGCTGACTTCTTCTCAAAGAGGGGGAGAATCTCATTGGAAGATTTATCGAACCGATCAAGGTTCCTTTTAGTGATGCCAAGTGTTTCTTCTGACGAGAGCATCTGAAGTATTAATACCCATATATGTTCAATCTTGAAGATGCTCCTTGTATCATCGGGATATCGTCAGTAGCCATTGTAGCATCCTGCCTGTGTTGATTTGGATGTAATTGAGACAAGTGTCAGGGTCTGCATAGAGTTGACTTTGAACATCAGGGTTCAAGAGGGTGGCTCTGGTGATATGCGGTTTCAGGGGATTGTTTCCTTACAGGATGTTGAAGAACTGCCCGTTGGATGGTCCGTCCAGCATTCTGCTGCGAGTGTGGACCGGGTAATGAGCACGTCACAGATGTCGCAGCACCTTTTAGATGTGGTCCAGCTGGTGCCAATGTTTAGATCTTGGGTGCATCCATGTTGTTGAGTAGGTGAGTTGTCTCCCATGGCTGTTGTGCCCTACCTGCCTGGATGCATGTATGTACAATGTAGTTACATGTATTTTGACCGGGATGCATCAGACAGGTTTCCCTATTTGCATCACTTTCTTTTTTTTTTGCATGGTGGCGGCGAGGCAGGAACCAGTGTACTGAACTTCATGGCTCAGTTTAAAGTGCTTTTGAGGTGCTTTAAATTACATCTGTTGAAAACTATACTGAAAGGTCTTTGTTGATGAGAGTTTTGGTTTTAAGTCATCTAGTAGAAACATATTGACTTCAAACTTTAAACGAGTCCAATTCCAATTGATTTGCCTGGTTGTGAACCAAATGTTCTTCAAAATGTACGCTTTCTGCCTAATTATCACCAAATGTTCATTTTACAAATTCGAAGGTGCAAGTTTGTATTCTAAATGATCATGTCGACCATGCCACATTACTTAATCACCTTAAACTGTGTATTGGGATAGAGGTTTTTGCATTATTAGACTAGGTTATGTCCTATGTTAATGACTGATTGCAATTTGTCAGCATCAAGGAAGCAGGCTCTTTGAATATCTCTCTTGCTTATGGGCTACTATAGGGATTAGCCCTTAGACTTGTATTGTTTTCACAGAACATAACACCACTCAGAAAAATCATTGGACAATATGGTATTTGCTATCACTGCTTGGCAGATAACACCTAATTACATGTATGTGTTTCATTCAATTCCCAACAACATACTTGTAAGGTCAATTCAGCAATATAGTAGATGTAAGCAAACATGCATTGATGAAGTAGGTTCCTGGATGATCATGTTGGTGATCCATTCATCATACCATCAAACCAAGTTAGAAATCTCAGTATTATTTTTGATTCATCTGTGTCCATGGAACCTCACATAACAGCAATCTCTAGAAAAGTCTGCCTGTGGATCTTCAATATTGGACACATACATGTACATGTATAGAAACATCTTGACAGAAACCCCACTGAAATACAGGTTCATGCTTTCATCACATCCAAAATAGACGTGAGCGGTTCACTTCTCTATGGCAACAAAGCATTCCAGCCATAAATTTTTCTCACCAGTAAACATTCTCAATTCACACCTATGTTAGATCTCTATTGACTTTCAGTATCACACAAAATTAACTGCAATCTTACCCTATTTGTTTATACAGAATTATTCACAACAATGTCTCAACGTACAAATCCATCAAATCAAACTCATTCACCTACATGTTTACACCTCAGCACACACATTGCACTGTGCTCGATGCTCAAATGAGCTCATGATGCTCCATGAACCCAGGACATACGTGTAGAAATTGTTATTGGAGGTGACAGATCCTTTTCAGTTGCTGTAGCCTGCTTTTAGAACAACTTCCTCAACTGTCAACATACATGTACAAGGGGCTGTTGAACTGAGTGCCATGCTGACTGGCATCTAACTCACAACGTCATGTAAAAAAGACGTTTTTTTCTACTTTTGTGAAAGTATAGTAGTTTGATTATTTAGAAGTATCAATAGGACTTGGGAAATAGGACTTTTGGGACAAACAGTCCCAACCAAATTTAGTGTATGTGGCCAAGCACATGTAATCAAGTAAAGACCTTATTCATGGAGAAGCCATTTGAGTCAAGTTCCCTGAATCTGTCATACTCAGTGTAATGTGTTAAATGGAATGGTGCGAGACTATTTGGGGTTCCAAGTGTAGCCCAATGTGCTGTGTTTGTGCGCCCTCTTGCAATATTGTAATGGCCATGCCTTGCACTCCGTGTTACTGCGTGCGGTGATTGCCATGTTTCCTGATGTTTCGCAAAAGTTCTGACAGAAAATAGTCTTATAATAATCCCAAATCAGCGTGTGTTATAAAGGTGTAATCTCCAATTTATCCAGCAAACTATATTGATTCTTTGCATGTGATCATTGGTTCTAAGGTGAGTTATAATTATTAGAAAATACTGTGATGAAAATATCTTCCTGGTAAGCCGATGGGTATGTTTGTATTTCATTAAAAAGTCCAGGGGGCTAGCGTAAAGCATACCTTCCAGTGCATATCGGGACTATGTGTACATGAAAGAAGCATATCTAGACATGACCAACATACAAGTATTTAAAAGCTTTGTAATTTTAAGTGATTTGGCATCATGTGTAGAGGGTTTCTGGTAGTTGGATCAACATGTTCCACGAATTATTCTTGTTCATGTTATAACTGTGTTTTTTAAGTGCATTTTAAGGTTAGATACTTGTATGTCATGTCATGTCAATCCCCACTGAGAAAGATTTAATCACTTGCTGCCAGGGGACCCATTTTCGAGCACATACATGTAGGCCTTATACATGAAGCTGGGGGGCCTGAAACCGGGACAAAAGAGCGGGGCCTTGTAACAAAAGACCGGGCTGCTGGGCATTACCGACTTTTTTCATTCTCAGTAGTGGAGAGAATCCAACCTTGTCTTGAAATAGTATACCACGGTTTTGGGCATTTAGTGTGAGTGATTACTATCGGGGACAAAAGCGCTCCACCACCGCAGCGATGAGCCACACAGCACCGCTGCATGCTAATCTGGCCCCTATTGAAAAGAAGTCAGCAGTACACTGAGCCAGGTTCATGAACAAAAGAAAGTTACGTAACACCACACAATCTAGGCTCTTTTTACAAGGCTGCAGGCCTTGCTGAAATACTTGGGCGTCAGTAGATTTTGTCTGTCAGACAACAGTGGCCACCAGACAGTAATTTTTGTGGGTGTAAACGTCTATTAATTGAAACGATAAATTTTTGAAGATTTTTGGAAACTGAAAATCTTGAAATTTGCCGGTATGTGTGCACTGCATTTTTCAAACCACCTGGCAGCATGTGGTTAACCACATCGTACCGGGGCATCTTTCAACGTTGATGATGCTGGGCCAGCATGACTATCATTTTTTCCGTTTTTCAAAATCCTTCAAAAATTCTTCATTCCATTTAACCGTCGTTTATGGCCGCACAAAGTAATCTTTAGGCACTACTCTAAGTTGACAGGTGAC